TCCCTCTCTCTCCCTCTCTCTCTCCCCCTCTCTCTCTCTCCCTCTCTCTCTCTCCCTCTCTCTCTCCCTCTCTCTCTCTCTCCCTCTTTCTATCTCTCTCTCTCTTTCTCTCTCTCCCTCCCCCCTCTCTCTCTCCCCCTCTCTCTCCCTCTCTCTCCCTCTCTCTCTCCCTCTCTCTCTCCCTCTTTATATATCTCTCTCTTTCTCTCTCTCTCCCTCTCTCTCTCCCTCTCTCTCTCCCTCTCTCGCCCGCTCGCTCTAGCCAGTTCTCCAGCCTAGTGTGCTTTCACAATGTCGTGTATCCACTTTAGAGAAGGTCTGCCTCTTCATAGAATTTGTTTATGAGCCAATTCGCCTCAATTCTGTTTACGGGCCAGTTCTTATCTAATCTGTTTATGAGCCAATTCTCATCGAATCTGTTCATGAGCCAATTCTCAGCGAATCTGTTTATGAGACAATTCTCGTCGAATCTGTTTATGGACCAGTTCTTCTCGATTCTATTTATGAGCCAATTCTCATCGAATATGTTTATGAGCCAATTCTCGTCGAATCTGTTTATGGGCCAGTTCTTCTCGATTCTATTTATGAGCCAATTCTCATCGAATCTATTTACGAGCCAATTCTCCTCGAATCTGTTTATGAGCCAGTTCTCGGAGATATTACCGGTTATCAATTTTGGCCAAGGCCCGAAGTACGAGGCATATCTTTCCTTGATCCATACAGCTTGGTTTCGATTCTATTTGTCAAGCCGTCAAACCTGGAATCTCTCTCTACTGCATGCAGACAACATATCTGTAGCATATGGTCTGCGGTGGCTTTCCACATGCCACAGTTTTCAATCCACAGTCTTGCGTTTCTTGTACATTTGTTTGCAGCGTCTGTTGTGACTTACACAAGTTCTCACACGCGAGTTGTGTTTCAAACAGCATCATCATCATCATCATAAACCACTTCTGCCGTTAAGCGGCGTTGGGAGGAATAATTTGCGATCCAGTGCACGTTGGCTGCCACTGGCTATTGTCATGCCGTGAAAGCGTAGAGTGACTTTAATTTTGTCGATCTATGTTTTCCGCGGCCGTCCTCTTGCTCTTGTAGTTGATCTTCTGAGATGTAGTGCTTGTGATCACATTTGATCTTACTGCATTCTAACGAGATGGCCAAACCACTTGATCTGCTGTTTCTCGATGAATCTAGTACAAGGTGTCGTTCCCACAATTTGCCTGAGGATCATTATTCAATCGATCTCGGATGGTTAAGTTGGCTGCTTTTCTCAGTCACCTCATCTCTCAGGTGGTGATTTTGCGTATATGGGCTTTAGATAGTGTCCACGTTTGGCACTGGTAGCCTAATGTTGGAATGAATATGCTAATAATAATCTGTGTCTTTGCACTCATAGTTATGCTTGGATGTCTTAATAATGGGGACAATTTGTTTGTGTTTCAAACAAAGGTTGAAAATCAAGCATAATTTTTCGCATCTAAACAGGACGTATAGCAATTTGGAGGCATACCAAGCGGCAGGCATATACCAAGTTACCACTGTATCTGGCTTCTTTTGGCCGTACGAAAGGCGAGACAAGACAACGACTTGTCGTTTATGATAATCACCTCGTCATAATGTGCTTGGTGATTATTTCATTTTTTGTTTGAATTATGTGCGTGTTTTTCTACAAGTCCTTGTAAACAGTACTTGGAATTTTTCTTTTTGCCCTCTTATTAAACACATTTTATTATGTTGGGGTGGGAGGGAGTGGAGGTGTCTTGCCGTATAACAAAGAAAGGGAGTGGGCGCCACCTGAAAAAAGCTTACAACTCGTCTGTACTGTATTGTTTCGTATTATCTTTTTAATGATTCAATTTTTCGAGGAGATACTTTGGTTAAGCAATTTTGTGTATAGTAGTTCGTATTTGCGTTGACTTATCGTTTGTCCTTGTGATAACGTGAGGCTGACTGGTTCCACTTTCCTCGTTTTTTGTGTGTGCACTTCTTTTAAAAATAAACCTGTCCCAAACCTGACCATCTAAAGAAAGAAAACTCCGTGGACAAGTACAATCATGTTCCAGGACTTGTCCTTCAAACGATCTTTCCTGAAACAGGACACCATCACCCGGCTCGAGTGCCCCGCTTGACGTCTTGGGTCAAAACAGCAGACGACATGAGCAGACGACATGCTGCATGAAGCTGAGGTCACTTCTGCAATCGGAGAATAACCTCCATGCCACCTTTATTACCGTCTCCTCTTTTTCTTCTTTGTCTTTTTGTGTCACACTTTCCTATTCATTTTTTTCCTCGACCGGTGTCTCTTTGTTGCCTGCAGGGTCCAAATGGTCGATCACAGGTCAAAGGAACGTGCCCTAGACTTACGGGTCTTAGGTGACAATGAAAGTAAAAGTTAACCCCGCTGACCCCATATCTGAGATGCGGTTCTGCATGAGACGATGGGTGGGGATTCAAGTATATTCTTTCTTGTTGATTCCCCCCCCCCCCCCCCAACTCCATTTTCATTCTCAATTTCGCTAAACCCGCTGTATTTGATAGTTTTTGTTTCCATGAAATACAAACTATTCTCCAGTTCATACACATCTCTACCATCTGCATTCAGCTTCCGAATTGTTTGTTTAAACATGAGAGCGTGACAGGGGAAGTGGTGGGTAAAAGAAAAGTTTATTGTGCCGGGGTTAAGTCCATCTGCTTAAAGGGGAAGAGAGGTGGTGTGAACATACTGTCATAATTCCAACATCCTTGGTTCAATTCAGCTGCAGCAGTTTTGTGGCAGCAGCGAGGAGGCGTAGTGGTTTTCGGTTCTTATGATATTATATCTTATTATTATTATTATTATTCTCTGTGGGCTGAACTGACATCCCCGAACTAGGGGCCTTCCCACACGTGCTCCGTCTCCTTCTTCAGTCGCCAACGAAGAGTCGGTATGCTAATAGTATCTGTTGCCACCTGATTAAAAATTCCGCTTTTGTTTTCGAGGCAGTGTTGAACATCTTCCCGACCCCTGCGCCCCCCTCGCTGAAATAGTCTGTCACTGTATCGGCCCTCGGTGTTGATGGTTTGAACAACTGTTCTGTTGCAATGTCCACTTGCTCCCAGAGAGCCTTCACCACTTCCGCTTTATCATAACGTAGCTCATCACCCATAGGGGCGGCAGCAGTCAGTCTTTCAACTTGCTCATTATCCCGCATACCGGAATGTCCTGGACAGAAAATCTACGATATGCTCCTGATAAGGTGATAAGAGTCTTATCAAGCGAAGCAAGCCATTCTACGCGTAAAACATCAGTTTCTTTTTTCAGAAGCATATTCTGTGAGGACATTACAATGACCAAATGTTGGGCTGTGCTGTTCTAAAGCCATCGAAAAGCTGACGTTACTGCTTCCACCTCCATTCTCATACTCTATGTTGTACACGAAGTTCTCTGTTTTCAGTGTCCATCAACCTTTGCAATAAAACCCCACTCATTTTTTTAACCTCTCCCTACATACCCATCTGTGTATATAACCATGTCTCCTGGAATTTTCACTGATGCGCCTTTGCACCGATACTTCTGTTTCACCAGCTATCCACTCTTAACACCCTCGGTGTAACTATCACTTCGTGCAAGTCTGCTTTGCTGGGTAGCACTGTAACCCATTCCTATCAGTAGCACAGAAAACAAGAAGAGACCCACTGTCTCCCCAAAAGCATGTCGTAAGAGTCGACTAACTAGGGAGCTTCCTTTGAAGTCGGAGTGCATCTGTCTGAGAGGCAAGGAACCAGCAGTCTGCATTTAGTTGAATCAGATCTGTAAAACTGATGCACACGCAACACTCAGGTTCTGAAGCAGGACTGCAGTCCAGAAGTGGACGAACAACCAGAACTTTACGCCAGAGTGTACAGCTGGTGAACGCGAAGAAGAAGAAGAAGAAGAAGAAGAAGAAGAAGAAGAAGAAGAAGAAGAAGAAGAAGAAGAAGAAGAAGAAGAAGAAGAAGACGAAGAAGAAGAAGAAGAAGAAGAAGAAGAAGAAGAAGAAGAAGAAGAAGAAGAAGAAGAAGAAGAAGAAGAAGAAGAAAAGAAGAAGAAGAAGAAGAAGAAGAAGAAGAAGAAGAAGAAGAAGAAGAAGAAGAAGAAGAAGAAGAAGAAGAAGAAGAAGAAGAAGAAGAAGAAGAAGAAGAAGAAGAAGAAGAAGAAGAAGAAGAAGAAGAAGAAGAAGAAGAAGAAGAAGAAGAAGAAGAAGAAGAAGAAGAAGAAGAAGAAGTTGCTGATAATGAAGCAATTACATTAACTTGTTCCTCTCACCACTACCCCCCGACTTCAAACTGCTAACAATAAACTATCAATAAATAAAACAAGTCTGTCGTCAACAGCATTTTTTGTTAGTACCGTGTCAGTCGCAGACAGTCAACAACAGTGCAGAAAAGAAAGCTACGGACAGCAGAACAATTTACTTCTAGACACGTGCGCTTTTTTTTTTCTTTTTCCAGCCAAGTTGTTGCTGGGCCATCTTGATTAGCATTCCAGTGCCTGGCTCGCGTTGCCTAGAACATCTGCTGGTGGAGCCAATGACATTGCGAAGCTCGCATGCCGTTACTGGAGCACAGGCTTCTGATTGGGCCTGTGGCTTGAAGACCGGACCGTGGGAACGGGAAGATGGATACCTTCACACATTCCTCTGCTCGTGTGGACCTCGACATCAGGCTCGTTGAGTGGAGGTGATTCTGTGGACAAGAGGTATCGCTGGGGGATGGTGACTGGGCAGAAGGTGGAGGTGCGCGATGGAAGGGGGGTAGAAAAGTGGGTAGGCTCCTGCACCAGGCAGCATGTAAACAGTGACGAGAGAGAGAAAGTTCTAATATCAGCAGGCGGGTAGCAGGGACCGGCGTTCAGTTATCGTTCTGGACACTGTAGTAGAAAGGTCGAAGTTGAAAGTGTATACGCTGTCACGCGCTGGAGCTTGTATTAAACCACGTGTTGGTTGCTCAACAAGTTCACACCCCTTGCAAACGTTGGGGAAATGGGCAGCCCTGTTGTAGTTGCATCTCCGAGGAAGAGCCCATTGTCTGGAAGAAGGGTAAGCTATTGTTGTTTTATTTAACTAATTAAGGCGAGTTGCTGATTTGTAGAGTTACCATATCGCGGTACAGTCTACAGTATCGTATTTAGGTAGACCCATATAGTCCCGTGAATACAACAACAAATTTCAATGTTCCAACAGAAGTTGAGTATCGACGGGAAAGCCTGAGTCTACCTTAAAAACGATACTGTCCCGGCAACAAAAAAAAGGACTTGTGGTCAGCCACCCTACTAATTTGGTCTTTTATTCTGAATTTATCTCTTATTTAATACAGTTGGCTTAGTCCCAGTTGGCCAAGGGCCTATACTTCTTTGCGGAATAAAGCGCAGAAGATGATGAGGTTTGATTAGGATGTAACTCATGACTGGACTGGATCGGCGGAAGAATAATAAACTGTCTAAGATATATTCAAAACAATGTCTTCCTATTCTGAATTTACTTAATGTGGACATAAACAAATATTCTTACCACCGATATCTTTATCGATATCAGACATGGACAGTCTTCAGAAGTCAGCTGGAAAACGCCACGATAGAAATTTAATGTTTACGAACTTTGCTAAGTGTAACAAGAAAAGATTAACTTAGGAATGATGATATCAGGGGGAGAGTCGGCACATCCAAAAATGAACTTTTAAACAACAGATCACATGGTTAGGCCATGTAACAAGGTTGGCATCAGATGGGGCACCACGGAGAGCAATGTTGTACAGATACAACGGTAACAGAGCCAGAGGTCGACCACGCATAACATGGACAGCAGAGATATCAGAGACACTGAAAAGTACTATATAAGAAACGAACAGCGGAGCCCATTCTATAGACTTCTTCCTCTCTGAGCCATTCCCGAAGCAGAGAAAACAAGAGAAAGACACAAACAATACATTGTTTAACCATTTTACTGCCCGGTGTCTTTCTCTATATCTCGTCAGGTGAATTTATACAGTAACATCAACATAATTTATGACAAATGACGCAAAATAAATAAATAAACATGAAGCCTTTCCACTGAAATATACAAATCATATTGTCTTTGACTACACTTTACAGCCAGGCAACGGTAGAACATGATTAATAGAAGTAGCACAGGCGCCAGAACCTGTTTACGCCTTCGATATTATTATGTCAAATATTTTATATTTAGGCACATAATAATACAAATTGTTATTATTATTATTATGCACTTAAACAATGCCTAATTTCGCTGTCCCGCTTTTTTGGCGGCACCCCTGCGCAGTAGTTGTAGCAGCAGAAGTAATACTAGTAGTAGAAGCAATAGTGGTAGCAGTATTAATAGTTGTAGCAGTAGTAATAATGTAGTAGTAGTACCCCCCCCCCCCACCACCCTCCCCCTTTCACACTCCCCGTCTCCCTCCTTTCCTCCAAATATTTTCCCGTTTTTGTGTTAGTTGCTCTGCTTACTACTATTACTAGTACTATATTCAACCTAATTACAATTTTTTTTTTTGGGTATGTGTTGTGTGGCCTTTACAGAAGCAACCCTAGCATTTGTGGGCTGTATTTTCACCAGTCAATTTTACGTTAAGTAGTCTGTGCGGCCGGCTCCCGTTACCACAGTAGAAATCAACGCAAAGCGATCTGCCGCAATATCGCCCGCAGCTGGGATCGACCCCGCCACATTGGAGTTACGAAGGGCGTTCACAACACCCTAAGCACAGACACCGATGCTAGTAGTAATACAATTTATATCATTTATAGTAAGTGTTATTATTATTATTATTATTATTATTATTGTTATTATTATTATTGTTATTATTATTATTGTTATTATTATTATTGTTATTATTATTATTGTTATTATTGTTATTGTTATTATTATTATTGTTATTATTATTATTGTTATTATTATTATTATTACAGCTAAACAAACCGCTTGTGGAGAAGAAACGAAGGGCCCGTATCAACGGCTGTCTGGGACAGTTAAAATCTTTGATTCTCAGTGCCGTGCAATCTGAGGTGAGTTTCCAGTTGTCTCGTCATATTTATTTCTTCTTCTTCTTCTTCTTGTTTATCATCATACTTGTTCCCTTTCTTTTTCTTCTTTTAAAAAATATACATCTTTCTGTTTCTTCCAGTTATTTATCCATCTATTCATTTTCTATATACAGGTATTCATTTACTATATACAGGTATTAATTTACTATATACAGGTATTCATTTACTATATACAGGTATTCATTTACTATATACAGGTATTCATTTACTATATACAGGTATTCATTTACTATATACAGGTATTCATTTACTATATACAGGTATTCATTTACTATATACAGATGTGAGTTATGGACTATCTAAGTAGTCAATAATGGTGGAAGAGAAGAAGAAGCAGAAGAAGAAGTCAATAAGATCTGTAAAACGGATGGGCACTCAAAACCCAAGTTCTGGAACAAGACTAAATAAAGTCCAGACGTGGAGAAATAACCAGGACGTTCCGTCAGAGTTTACAGCCGGTGAACGCTACGAACAAGTTTAAGATTAACCAAATGAAATGACTGACTCAAATAATTCACAAAAGGAGTGAATTCAGAAGAACAAATCATTAAAAGGGCCAGAGGGTTATCAGTCTGTCTATCTGTTAAACAATTGGTCAGTCTAATTATTGTCGACTGGTGCCTCATTTTCTGTTTTGTTTTTCATCTCTCTCTCTCTCTCTCTCTCTCTCTCTCTCTCTCTCTCTCTCTCTCTCTCTCTCTCTCGTGTCTGGATGTGGTTATGTGCGTCTTGTTTGCCTCTCTATTTCAGTCCGCCTTTAGAAACACTGATAGAACGGAACGGAGGAAAAGATTACAAACCCCTGTGCCATGTACTGGAACAACCGGACGGTGATGACGATAGTTGGAAACATGGAAAGAATGGCCGGGCGCCCACCCTTTTTATTATGTAAAAAAAAAAAAAATTTGAATTGAGTTATAAAGCTAAATATGTTTCTTGCCTAACTGTATCTATTTATTTTTTCAGCAAGGCTCACAAGTGTCCAGGCTGGAGAAGGCAGACATCTTGGAAATGACGGTTAAATATCTCAGGCACGTTCAGCGACATCAAGCGTCAGCAGTTGCTACCTCAGAACCGGAGGTGGTCGCTAAATTTAGCGCAGGCTACACGGAATGTGCTACAGAGGTCATCCGCTACATGGATTCTGTTCAATGTGTTGCTCCCGAGGTGAGATCCCGACTAGAGTACCACCTGGTGGAGAGACTTAGGGGCTCTGTCCCCAACACCGTTACGTCAACCACATCTGGGGCCAATTCTGCAGGCCTAGCCTTCACGGGAATGCCGACCAGTACTCAGACATCCGTGAGTGACGTATGTGGTAGGCTTGTCTCCTCCACCAACACCTCCATCCCTGAACAGATACACCGACATTACCAAACAGCCGTGGATTTAGCAAATATGGCGGCTGCTGTAACTGCGAAAGAGGCAGTGAATCCTGCAGCAGGAGCAGAAACAATAACAGTTTTAAACCAGTCTCAGTCTTTTCACAGAGCACCACATTCAGTTTCTGAACTGTCGTTAGTCGGAGCGGTCCCTCCTGGCGTGCATGCGGCGTTCAGTATGGTCATTCCTCAAAGAGCCATGGCAGTTAACCAGATGTACCAAAGTCGTGAGGGTTACCATTCTACATCTACAGATATCATCCGCTCCCACAGTATTTCCCCGTCACACACACAGCCACGCGAGGTTCCCGTTCCCATGGTGACTTCGCCGTCATCAACGTATCATGTTAGCCATATAAGGCATCGTAGCGAGCCCGGTTTGTCTCAAATGGCCTATTCTTTAACAACAAGCAGGAGTGTCAGTGAGGAAATGAACATGTGTATAAATAATGATGCAAATAACAACTATGGAGGAGACAAACTTGTGCAGAATTCCACAGGTAGCAGCAACATAAATGAATATCTCAGTTCCTTTCAACGTCCTCTGCATATACATATTCCTGACGGCGGTTCTTCGCGTCCACAAAAACCGGCGCCGTCACCACCATACATACCAGATAGCCCTTCTCCCCCGGCTCAACAACCCACGCCATCTCCACCGTTTCTTCACCCACATGTAGGCTACCCCCACGTATCGGGACAGTCCCACCCGATAACTGTAGCAAGCAGCACAGAATACATGCCACACACGGTGCTCTATGGGTACACTGACTATCAAACGGGTGTTCCACGCATGTACCCAGCACAGTACAACACGAATACCACTGACATCCACACAAGATCATCAGACATCATGTATAACGATAAAAGCAGCAGAGAATCAGCCAGCAGCAATTATATTGATAATATCAGCCGAGAATCAGCAAACAACATTTATAACGAAAGTATCGTCAGAATCTCTACAGACAGAAACATGTCACAGTTCTTGAATAACTTTTCTAAAAACTACGCGGACAATATCAGCAATTATCAGTCAGACTTTGAAAACCACCCATCCTTCCCGCATGGAACAAGAGCCACTCCTTCACCGCCCACTCTGTTACCTGAAGAAGCTTACGTCAGCGATACCAGTGACCAGCACTATGACAACAGCTATCAGGACCTGTCCAGTCAAGAATACAGTCCTGACTTTTCAGCAAATGGTGATTTTCGCGCCAGTTTCCCAGCAGCCCTCTCTCCTAACGTCAAAGAAAATTACGACCCGCAATCAATCAGGAGCAACGGTCAAATGAACTCTAATGTACAATACAGATGTAATCAGTACGATCAGCTTTCCGGCTATCCTCGGCAGCGTCAAAGTAATCTAACAACAACATCAGCGATGAAACAAACCAGCAACTTCCCTACTGAACAATCCACGGGGAATGGGCTAACAGACAATGGCCAGGACGGGATGAAAGGACCCTGTCAGGCCCAAACCGCCCCCTCCCGCCAAAACGACCAGACACTATCCCCTCCAACCTTAAAGAAGCGGCTGTTGTTGGCTCAAGGGTCAGCGGGCGAGTGGACGACCCCACGCTACAGTGGAGCGAGCGAGGACAAAAGACAGTTTCGGAGTGACACTGGACGGGTGCTTTCTTTAGAGGTGTCCACAGACCCGCGCCTTGGGCGTGACGAACACGAGTCCCAGGTACATCAAGAATCTGCAGCCACGTTACCTGGTGCAGCATTCTGTGCCCTGCCTGTCCACGCTGTGCCCACTGACGAAAGCTTGTGGCGACCCTGGTGAACTATTGACTGGACTTATGATACGGTTCTTTATAACAAGAGGAGAGGCTGGCCGAGTGGTTTGACAGCCGGGCACTTATGCTGGAGACTGGGTCCAAATCCACCACAAGGAGATAGAGAGTGTCGGGGGCAAAATTCAACATTCTAACTTGCAGTCCATGGCAATTACCTGAGCTAAGCGGTCCTAAATCCTCAGACGCAATATCCGCCCCCTCCTTTTTACCCTAAAAAAATGTATTTAAAAAAAAAAAACGTTTGCATCGCCGGTTATGTACAGGCATTTTTGTTTTTTTTAGTATGCAGAAGCCATGAGATGTTAACCCTTAGGCTCGGTATTATGAATATCGCAACTCTTCAGCCTCGATTCCATGATAAATACCTTAAATCTGGGAGAAAGTTGGCTTTTCTGCCTACCCCTGAGCGTGAACCCGGACCACAAGGAGTTCGTCACCCGGTCACCGCGCAGTCTGGTTTAGTCAACTACGCTAGCGAGCCTCGCATGGCACATAAAGACCTATCCAGATTTACGAGTTAAATAAGAACCGACATCCCCTGGTCACTACTCAACATTTTCTCAGTCTTTCTTGTTCCTTTTGTTGCACATGTTGATGACCTATGTTCCTATTGTTGCACATGTTGATGACCTCTGTTCCTATTGTTGCACATGTTGATGACCTCTGTTCCTATTGTTGCACATGTTGATGACCTCTGTTCCTATTGTTGCACATGTTGATGACATCTGTTCCTATTGTTGCAAATGTTGATGACCTCTGTTCCTATTGTTGCACATGTTGATGACATCTGTTCCTATGGTTGCCCATGTTGATGACATCTGTTCCTATTGTTGCACATGTTAATGACCTCGATATTTGTATGACCTATTATCTACCTGTTTCAGTTGTCCATGTCCAGCACACATTTCACTGTCTTCCTCTGCCTTTTTTCCCCCAACAAATGTTTATATTAGTGTAAAACTACTTTGTTTTATTTTTTGTAACAAATTATAAATAGCGCAATTTCCCATGTTGAAGGAAAAAAACACTTTCTACAAATGTTAATTGTATTTTTGTTAAATACTGATACAAGCACAAATTAAAAATAAATTTTCAAATGAATACGAGTTAAATAAATTGTTGAGTATATTTCATATCCGTTCGGTTTGTATGTTGTCATTTGTGCATGTTAAGAAAGTCTGATTTTGCTCTTCCTTCCTTGCTTATTTAGGTCAATTATTTGTGAATCTCTCACAGAAACACACAAGATCAATTATTTCGGGAATCTCTCACAGAAACACACAAGATCAATTATTTCGGGAATCTCTCACAGAAACACACAAGATCAATTATTTGGGGAATCTCTCACAGAAACACACAAGAACACTTATTTGTGAAGCACTCACAGAAACACACAAGAACAATTGAAAAACTTACCTTTTTCTCTTTCTGCGTCGGCTCTGTGGCTAGGTCGATGCGAACGCTTCCTAATGCCGGGATGTCGTGTTCGATCCCAGCTGCGGGCCGTTCGCCTTGCGTTGGTTTCGACAGTGGTATCAAGAAAGCCGACCGTCCAAAAGCAACGGCAAACTACTGGACGTAAATTTGCCTAGAAAAACCACACAATAGCCAGGGTCTGTTGGGGTTGGTTCTGCAACGTCCTGTAAAGGATACGCATATTAACCTCTCTTTCTACAGTTGGCCTATCAAAGTATTGGAGGAGATGTAAGCATCTCTGTGTGCTCTTGTTAATAAGTTTTATGAGTTACTGTTCATTTCTTAAAATATGTTCTTGCTTCTCTTTATTCAGTTATTTTGTCGAAGTTTTGGGGGAGATGTAAAGATCTCCTGCGTGCACTTTCCAATACGTTTCATGAGTTCCTGTTCATTTCTTAAAGGATGTTCTTGCTTCTGTTTCTCTAGTTAACTTATTGGAGAAGATGTAAGCTCCACTACGGGATAGAAAGGTAGATAAAGAAGAGATGTAAGCATCTTCTGTGTGCTCTTGTTAATAAGTTTCATGAGTTACTGTTCATTTCTTAAAGGCTGTACTTGATGCTGTCGTTCCATTTTCTGCATAGCCTGCTTCTGCACTGTGTTCATTATATTTTTTTAGCGTTTCTCTCTGTGTCAGTTGGTACACGTTTATTATTATTTTTTTTAATACTTTAAAAAAAAAAATGTTTCTATTTAATGAAGTGAAAAAAATCTTATGCAATAAATTGCTCTCATTTAATGTCAGAAAGAGGGTGCTAAAATGTTACATAGAACCTGTTCTACTGTATGGCAGCGAATCTTGCAATGTCACTAAACAAATTAAGAAGCATTTTGAAGCAACAGAGATGTGGTTTCTGAGACGAATGTTACGAATACCTTGGACGGCCAGAGTAACTAACAACGATTGCTTGAAAGAGGCTAATGAAAGTAGATCTTTATACAACAATAAGAAAGAGACAAACAATGTTCTTTGGCCACATAATGAGAAGAGAGATATTGGAGAACATCGTAACAGCTGGAAATCAGTGGGAAAAGGGATAGAGGCAGACCAAGAGAGATGATGCTGGATGAGCTAAAACGATGGCATGGAGGGATATCATCAAGAGAGCTGTTCAAGTCAATTAGGGATCGCGATCTGTGGAGACGCATGAGCGCCTACGCCAGTTGGCAGGGCACATGATGATGATGATAAAGACTAGTTTTAGTTGTAGTCATATTGTAATTTCCCAATTTCAAGTGTATCTCTTCCTTTATTTCAGACAGCTCGTCTACGAAACCTGCTCACTGTTGTTATGAGTGTACGCTCATTAGTTTTAGTAAGGGTCAAAAGTTTGACACTGGTAGCATAATGATGGCCAAAATTGTTATTAGACTGGCTTGCCTCCACTTTGCTGACCAACCTATGTGTATATATATATAGTTTAGTGTTCCGCGTCTGTGCCGGTCTTGTCTGGTGAACCACGGTGGGCCTCCAGCTCCAAAGCTGCAGGTGGTGGTCGAGGGTGAACTTAGCAGGCAGACACATCTAAATTCTTCTTATATTCCACTGTGTAGACAGACAGTTGCATCTTCTATATTTTTTCAATTCTTTTTTTTTTTTTGGAAAAAAAGGGGGGGGGGGGGGGTCCGGAAATGTCGTAGATTCATCTTTAGCATTACATTTTTCCACACTAACACTTATATCAAAGTTATACACATGTTAAAGTACGCGTTAACACACATTTAGCATAATCTCCGTGAAAGTGAACACATCTCCTTGTTCAACAAGTTGTTGTGCTGTGTTTGCTTCGCGTCTTGACCGGAAGAAAGAAGGCGACATACCACATAGGACAATATAATAATAATCATAATGTTTAAAAAAAATTTTTTTTTTTTTTGGGTGTAAGTTAAAGGGCAGATCGTGTTAACTGCACATCGAACCATTCAGTCAACAAGTGCTCGGATTTCGTCCTCAGTAAATCCCTCAGTGTGTTGCCGTTGACGACACCATTTCTGTGTTGGTTTATTCTACTTCTTTGGAATCCGTCAAGTGCTCTTATCTGGCCTCACCCCCTTTCACTTACTAGTCTTGCAGTATGACTGTATTTGCAATTTCAGTCATCCACTTGGTTTTCGCAAATGTCATATATCGTGTAGTTTCAGTATATAAGCCTGTCGGCGTCTGTGGCTTAGGCGTTGCGAACGCGCTTCGTAATGCCCAGGTGCCGAGTTCGATCCATGCTGCGAACGATTTGTCTTGTGCAGGTTCGACCATGCTACCGAGAGCTGGGGCGCCAAAATGTTCAATCTTAATAGAAAAAAAGGAGTTTTTTTTTTTTTTTTTGGGGGGGGGGGGGGGGGTGCAGCGTCTCAACTGGAGGGTCAACATTGAGTTTCATTTTCTTGAAGAGGGTTCTTCAGTCTACACAAATATACTCTCCCCGAAACAGCGCCGCTTAAATTTTTTGTTTTTTTTAATGTGTTTCGTAGTCTGGCCAGAGTTAGAAGTTGTAAAAGAGGCGAGGTCTCAAAGACAACTTAATCACAAATATCAGAAGGAGACAGTCGTCATTTTTTGGTCAAGAGAAGTAGGGAACTATAACATATTGCGGCTACTGGAAAGATATGTGGAAAATAGTCAGCGGAAAGCAATGCGTGACAATTCTTGAAAGGCTTTTTTAGTTTAAATTAGCTCATCGCCCAGAGAATCGACATCAGCTAATCTATCAGCATGCTGAAAGTCACGTGCTGAATATCCGAAACACATAATCCATGATATGTTTCTGATCAACGTAAGCAGATCTTATACCTATGGTTGACCAGCTCGTTAGCTTAGTTGGTTAAACCTGACTGCGTGGCAACCGGGTGACGAACTCCTTGTGGTCCGGGTTCACGCCCGGGGGTAGGCAGAAAAGCCACATTTCTCCCAGATTTACGGTATCTGTCATGGAATCAAGGCCGAAGGGTTGCGATATCCATAGTACCGAGCCTAAGGGTTAGCAACAGTTTGTTTCTGGAAATAAAATAAAAAATACACATGGTTATAGAGGGTGATGATGATGATCTTTAAATGAACAATGATCAATGGTTTAGTGATAAGTCACACTTTGAATACTTCAGGTTTGGCAACTGACCAGGGAATAAGTCTTTTAGGTGTGCTGAAATCTGACCGAAGCCTGTCGCGAAAGGCGAATGATTAAGAATTTGCTGAAATAAGATGTGTTGTCCCGAAAGATACAGATACCGCAGCCTAGCTATAAACCATGACTCAGCGAGTCAACCACCCTTTTTAGGTTAGTTAGTTAGTCTTACCTCTTGGGCCTAGGGCGGCGCATGGGGCAGAGGTCATAGCTCTCCATGTCTGGCGGTTGGTTGCCACCTGGTTTAGGTCTTGGATGTTTATCAGGCCCCTGATGAAGGTTCTACGTAGTCTCTCTTGGTCCTCCCCTTTTTCTTTTTCCTTCCGGTGCCCTCACGAGAGCTTGATGGGAAAATCTTGACTTATCCATTCACACTCTCTCACACCACACGTGCCTCAACAGTGGGAAAACACAGCAGACGGCGTGAAGACTATTTACCAGCAATGGTAATGTTCTGTGACGAGCACCAGTGCTCTTTGTTTTAGACACTTTGCGGTGGGTACCGCCCCCCCCCCTTTTTTTTTTTTACAAAGCCCTGATAGTAACATTAGTAGTTCCCCGTGGGGATTCCGGGGCTCCATTGTGGGTGAAAACAAGAACAGACCCACTGGATTCCTAACAAGCATTTTGTAAGAGTCGACAAACTGGGGGTTTCCTTCGAAGTCGGAGTGCACTTGCATGAGAGGCAAAGAACCAACAGTCTGCATAAAAAATAAGTCAGATCTGTAAAACGAATGCACACGCATCACTCAGGTTCTGGAACAAGTCTAAAGTTCAGAGGTAGATTACCAACAAGAACTTTCTGCCAAAGCTTACAGCCAGTAAATGCGAAGAAGTAGCAGAAGAAGAAGATTAGTAGTAGTAGTCGTATCTGTAAAAGTAGCAGCACCAGTAATAATAAGAGCAGCAGTAACATTATTTGTACTATTAATATACAACTAATGCTGTTGCTGCGACTACTACCACTACCTAACTACCACTAATATACCCATACCAACCTTTACTTTTACAACAAACACTACCGCCACAACAAGCCATGGTGCATCCAGTGCTACCACTACTATAGCTAATAATACCACTACTGATACTACTACCACGGCTACTACTACTATCACTATCACACCATCCCGTGTGGGTTCCGGGGGCCTATTATAGGGAAAATAAGAATAGACCCACTGCCTACCCAAAAGCATGTCGTAAGAGTCGAATAATTGGGAGCTTCAATCAAAGTCGGAGTGCATCTGCCTGAGAGGCAAGGAACCAACAGTCTGCACACAAATTTTTCAGAACTGTCAAACGGATGCACACGCAAAACCCAGGTTTGGAACAGGACTGCAGCCCAGAAGTGGACGAACAACCAAAACTTTCCACTAGAGTTTACAGCTGGTGAACGTGAAGAAGAAGAAGACTATCACACTACCACAACCACTACTACCATTACTACTATCCTCACTAACCACTCCACATCTGTAACTACCACTACAACCCCACTTGACTTGACTTTCTACCCCACTAGGACATCACACAAGCGATAAACACCCGATGACACAAAGTGCCACCATGCGGATGAGGATCGCCGTGGAGAGGTCCCAGAAACCGCGTTCAGACACTTGGCCATATTTATGGCCTGCCTATATTGCGGCCCCTGGCAAAAGCCAGGGTGGGGCTTCAAATAACAAAAAATTTCGCCCTAAAAAGGACGAAACTGGATGATACGTATCCTTTACAGTACCAACACCAGCATTGGCTATTGTGGTTTTTCTAGGCAAATTTACGCCCGGTAGTTTGCCATTTGCCTCGATACCACTGTCGAAACCAACGCAAGGCGCAAGATCAGCAGCTGACAACTCCACTACTGCCACTAAAAACTCTATTACTGCCACTGCTATTAATACTGACTCACAGCATGCTGCGAAAAGGTGGAGACAGGCATGCTCCGTGCAGAGTGGCAAGCATCACTTCAGAGGTCCGGGGTAGTTAGCATTCTTTGGATATTTTCTCCAGGTGACGCCGGTGTGTTGGGAAATGAGCAGGCGGACAGACTGGCCGTTTCTGCACCACTTGATGGTGAACTGATATATGACAGGCTGGATGTTGTGAGGGCCTTTTGGGAGCGAGTTAACAGTGCCGAGGAACAAATAGATCATTACGGTCTGAGAAGAATGGCACTGCGAGGAGTTACAAGGGGATCTGGCCGACGCTCGACACTCGGGAGAGGGGCGAGACGGATATACAGTCAGACTATTACTGGTACCATCAGAATTTTAACTTTTCGCTTGCTGCTGAAGATGGAGACGGAGCGCTTATGGGAGTGTCCTGAGTGCTGTGATATCGATTCTTAATTCATCATTCAACATTTTGCTATTAACACAACAACTACTACCACAACTATCTATACCACCAGGACTATATCCTTAATATAACCATTAGCTAGGGTACATCAAGTGCTACCACTAATACTACCACCACAAGCAACTGTATATCTGCTGTTACGACTACTGCTACCACCATCATCACTACTGCGACCGCGACCACTACCAATACTGTCACCTATAGCTAGGATACATCTGGCGCTACCACTGCAGCCACCACAAATACTACCACCACTAATATTACCACCATTGTCACAGTACAAATGTTATTATCACTACTACTACTACCACCACGATCAATACTGTTACTATCTTGGTAATCTTAGTAATTTAGTTTCAGCTTCATAGCAAACGGGTCACCCCATAGCTGCTGCGCTCCTGGGCTAACCAAAAACACACAGAAAGTCCATCACTATCTCTAGTGGAAAAAACTGACACAGACTGCAGTCTCAGTATATCCATTAGCATACACACACATTAAAAGCATAAGGCAGCCATCAGAGGTGCTAACACAAACAGTCTGACATTTTAAATGCAGTTCCTTATAGACTGAAGCAGCAGTTCTAAACAGATTAGCAGTCACATACGCTATCAATTTCATTCATAAAAGGCATCAAAAAATATGTGGCAACAGGCCACACGCTATTTTCTGAAAATACAGTTCATAACAAAACGTTGGTGACAGTCAAAAAAACATTCAAATTGAAATCCACAGCGCACAGTGTCGCACCATGCATCCAGCCCAGTAGCAGGATGACAAAGCTATACCCTGTCTTCAATTGGAATCAAATGCAGGGCCATCGTCTGTCAGAAGCATCAACAACAACAAAAGCCAGTAATAAAAACAATGACCGCACCTATTGTTCATTTTGTCCGGAACACCACAATTATTATCAACAATAGCTAGGATACATCTAGCGCTATCACTACCCCTACAGCCACCATTACTATGAGAAAACTGACAATCACTAATACCACTTCACTACTTCTACTTCCTTTACTACCAACACTACTGCTTACCATCACTGCTACATACCACAGCTACTACTACCACTACTACTACCACCAATAGCCACTGCACATCTTCTGCTACAGTAACCATTACAACAAACACCACTGCCACCAATGCCAGCAATACAACAACCACTACGAGCATCCGGTACCACCATCACCACCGATATTACTAACAGTACTACTGCCACTACAACCACCACTACTACAGCCACCATTAGTGCTGCCACAGTGCATGCGCTACTACTACCACTACGTATGGCGCGACCACTACAACCACTACCATTACTTAGACCACTACCACAAATAGGAAACGAATCACGTGGACTAAGGGAGTTAACTCCAGTTAACAAACGGACAACCAAGCCGAGCAGAACAGGATCTTTAACATATTTTGTCTGGCGATATCAATTGTTATTTAACTTCCAAAACTTTACTAGAAAAAAATTACGCCTTTCTAATTATGCATATTAGATGCATAACATTTTCGAGATAACGCTTTAGTTTCAAAAGCTGTGTAGTTTGTTTTTACCATTTGTTTGTTTTTTAAATTTCTCAACTAGACTGAAGTTCAAGTTAGCTCAAGCTTGCTAAAAAAAAAACAGTAAAAACACTAAACGAAGTTTTCTCTGGTAAAGTCGTTCGCAACTAACTAAATTCCGAAACTACCTAAGACAGAACAGGCCACATTTTTTTTTTGGGTGCCATGGCTTTAGTAACACATCTTTTAATAGTAAATTCATCAAACTCTGTGGGATTCCGTTTTCTAGGCTTGCTGATTCTGTTTGCTGTTAGTTTTAGCCTTCACAGCAAACACGTACTGGCGGCTGAGCCTGATGCAGCAAACTTGTGCGAATTTGCTAAATATTCTAGTGAAAGTCAGGATTCATTAGCAGATGCAAAAAAGAGGCTGGCTCCACTAGTAGGGAAGAAGTAAGTTTTTGGTGTGTATTTGTTGACATTTAACAGACTTTGCCAACATATGTTCAAGCTGTACGGACGACTCACAGAGGTGTTTACTGTGTGGTCTATATTCCGAATAACGATCCCAAATTATTGAGGTAGAAAATATACCCTAACAGGGCCTCAGTCACGTGTCAATTGCGCACTTCTGGCGACTTGTATTGCGCACATCTGCCACCCTCGAGAGTATCCCCCACCCTGCGTGAACGGCGTGGATTGGGGCTAAGCTAGATGGCTGGGACTCACGAGCAGCAGCTACTGCATTTCCTGCAGCTGCCGTTATTTTTGTTGTTGTTCAGTAACCGACTCACAAAGGTGTGTACTGTGTTTCCCCAGGCTGGCACCTCAAAATGCTGAACTTTTACTCAGACACTGTAAGCTGCTAACAGAGAGGCCATCTGGCCAGTTCCACCCTTAGTCAAAACAAAGCTCTCCCCATGTGGGTTCTGGGGTCCCATCGTAGAGAAAAGAATAGACCCACTGCCTCCCCCTAAAAAGCTTGTTGTAAGAGCAGACTAATGGAGGGTTTGGGGCTTCCTTCAAAGTGGAAGTGCATCTGCCGGAGAGGCAAGGAACTAACAGTCTGCATACAGATAAGCAAGATCTGTAAAATGTATGCACACTCAAAACTCAGGTCCAGAAATGGACGAACCACCAGGTCTTTCCGCCAGAGTTTACAGCCAGTGAACGCAAACAACAAAACAAAACCGTATGGCACATACAGAGATTTAAACTACACAATAACTGTAATCGAATCTACTGGTCCCCTAATATAAGGTTTTCTGACAGAATGATCACAGAAGAAGAATAATGTCATGTAGCATTGAGATCATCTTCTTGTTCATGTTGACTGGCTGTAAACTCTAGTGGAAAGATTTGGTTGTTCATTCAACACTAAACCTTAGTCTTGTTCCAGAGCCTGACTGTTGCCTGCACATCCGTTTTACAGATCTGACTTTTTGTATGTAGACTGTTGGTTACTTGCCACTTGGGCAGATGCACTCTGACTTCAAAGAAACTCCTCAGTTAGTCGACTCTTACAACATGCTTATGGGGTGGCAGTGTGTCTATTCTTGTTTCCCAAAAAAGGGCCTCAGAACTCGCATGAGGAGCCTTTTAAATAAGTGGGAGGGGTTGGTCATCAGGTCATGGTCTGACATCACATGATCAGCTATTTCCCAGTGTGGAGTCTGGGCTCTTTTTGTAGCGGGGAGTGTGGGAGTAGTTGAAGGACTGCTCCTTATCAAGCTTCTTTTAAAAAGTGATTAATTAAGGATTTTTCTAAAATTGGATGTGTCTGACTAAAAGGTGTAGATATAGCCTAGCTATAAACCACAATACAATATGTCAGCTGCCGTTTTAAGAGTGAACACTAAAGAAGATGTGTCATATCAATAAATGGAGGGCGGTCGTGGTTGGTCTGACGTTCCCTGTGTGGGTTCCAGGGTCCCATTGTGGGAAAAACACGAATACGCCCAATGCCTCACAAACAAGCATGTCGTAAAAGTTGACTAATCAGGGGCTTCCTTCAAAGTCAGAGTGACTCTGCCTGAGAGGCATGGAACCAACAGTCTGCATACAAATGAACAAGATGTTTAAAAATGATGCACATGCAAAACTCAGCTCTTGGAATAAAGCGAAAGCCCAGAAATGGACGAACACCCAGGTCTTTTTGCGGGGGTTTACAGACCGGTGGTTGCAAACAAACAACAACAACATTATCAGCAGTCTTCCCTGAGATATGGGTTCTGTGGCCCTATTTTAGGGGGGGGGAGGATATAATCCCCCCCCCCCCCCCCCCCCCAACAATATGGACTCATTTTTTAAAAAACTGAACTTGGTCCTAGGTCTTTCCGACCTTAAACTTGTACTGGGTAAAATTCTAGAAGGTAAAGGCGGCTAGGTGATGCTGACCACATCAGCCACTGAGTGCCAATTGGTCTATAAATGATAGGTCTAGCCCAGTACTCCTGAAGGCATGGAAAGAGGTCTTTTGAAAGAGTGTTAGCTACCTGAAAGGTAAGGGACCAATAGTCTGCACACAAATAAGTGTTGCATGCTGATTTGGGAGAGTGTAATATTGTGGGAAGGGACAGAGTGGTCTGATAGTACTTTTCGGGAGTTCAAGGGGAATATTGTCAACAATGGCCGAAGCATTGAGGGGGGGGGGGGGGGAGAAAGGGGGGGGGGAGAGAATGTTGACCAGTGAAATGTATTATCATGAACGAGGCATGCACGCCCGTGAAAATAAATGCGTGGGTTCACTGTGTGGGGGGCTGACAGCATGGCTAATGAGATAAACAGAGAAAGTGTGAATTACATGACAGCGTGATTCTCATGTAACATCAGCCGCCCACATGAGCGTGATCCTCGAGAACGCTCACATAAGCATGATTTCCGAGATCGCCCACACGAGCGTGCCTTTCGTGCCACCCACATGAGTTTGGCAGAGATATATTTGGCTGAGTAGTCAGTCGGAGTCAGTCAGAGTCTGAGAGTCAGAGAGAGAGAGTGAGACCAAGTCAGGGTCAGTCAGTATCTCTCTCGAGTAAGACAGAGTACCATACAACTATCAGGCATCAAGGTCTGAGTAAGGGTTGTGGTTGCGGTACTGGTCGAAGTTATAGTCCTGCTGGTGAAGTAAGTCCAAGGGTACGCTCCAAGCACAACTGTTCTGGGTGACGGCGCAAGGAGACGTAGGATCACCACAGAAACAACAGTAGGGATGCCGACCAGAGCTGTGTGTGCTAGAGGGGACTAGTGTTAGAAGTCCTGTCGGTCATCGGAGTCCTTCGACAGGCTGATGTGCTGTGGGCACATGCTGGAGAACGAGCAAGTAAAGTCCGATTCCAGTCAGCCGTTGTTGTCTGCTGAAATAATATCTAGATCCAGTGGATAGAAGAATTCGTCCTGTTCAGCTGTACGGGGAGCCCAGAGTTGTGGGACGCTGTAGACCTTTGGAGCTGTAGTGGTCAGGGAGAGGTCGCTACAAGTGGAGAGAGAGCGAGTGAGGACTAAATGGACTATGTACGAGTGTCAGTTAGGATCAACATCTATGTCTCTGCAGTTGTGTCCTGTAACCTGTTGAATCAAATGTATGATGGAGCTACTGTCGTCGAGTCCTGCTTCGAGTGAGAGGGAGCAAAAGTTATACCTTCTGGACACTTGGAAGTGTGCTGATTAGTGTGTAACTCAGATAGCACACAACAATAAGCCAGATTTGTAAAATTAATGTGTACGGAGGACTCAAATCTAGAACACGACCAAAGTCCAGAGGTGGACGAACAACCAGAACTTTCTGCTGGAATTTACAGCCGCTGAACACTTAAGAAGAAGAAGAAGAAGAGTATAAGGATTTTAAAAAAGAAGAGGAGGATGAAGAAGAAAAAATACGGAAAGGAAGAAAAAAAAGAGGAAAGATAAAGAAGAAAAAGAGTAAGAAGTAGAAGAATCTTCATTTTGTCCTTTACTTATTTTATAACATCTGCTTGGTGGCTAGTTGCTTGCCTGATGACCTAAGAGATCATGGCCTTTGAACTGCATCAAGGTTTTTTCTCCAGAACTGATCTTTGCTGTCAGCTTGACCTTGCCTAAATTGGATACTGGGTAACTTTCTGGGAAGTAAAGGCAGCAGGAACCATATTGACCACATCACCCACACATGGTCAGTTGCTCATTAAAAGTACAAGTCTGGCATCTTTTTTTTTTTTTAAAACTTTTCTTACTTGTTTTTTTTCAAATTAATATTTTAGATTTGAGTCCAGTGATGGTGTGCAGTGGAAATTTAATGTTGGAATCTGTACCGGCGTTAGCGATGACAAGGGAGTAGCCATTCAGCAGTTAAAAATGGACAGCGATAATAAAATTGTAGAGAGACACAACCTAGGATCTCTGAAAGATTCTCATATCCTAGTTGGGAGTAAGTGTTAGTCTGTGTTGTTTATTATTATCAAAAGTATATGTGAAATGTCCCTGTCTTGGTTCTGGGACTCTATTTTAGGTTTAAAAAAAACAAAAACTGATACCTTTAAATCTTTTGACCGTGATGAGCACGTAGAGCACCCTTTTCCGCACCTCCAGGTGTATTGGGCATATAATGTCTGACCTGTATTTTATTGACCAATCGGCACTAGGTGGGTTATGTGTTAACCATCATGCCGCCTGCCTCTACTTCCTAGGACTTTAGCTGGTACCCATTTAAGGCTAAGTCAACCTGGGCGCCAAGGTCATTTTTGCAAAAAGATTTGTTCCGTTTGGATTTGAACCTACTACCATCAGATCCACGAGCGAGTGTCTAGCCGCTACACTACGGTGCCTCCCTTTTCACCCTCGTACCTATAAAATTAGAGATTCCTTATTTTGTAAATTTCAGGAAAAAATATTCCTTGATAAACAAACCATTTTACCATGTTACAACAGATATCATACGGATGAAGGGAAGTAATCCATACAAATGAATTCAGCAGAAAATCAACTGGCTGGAATCTCTTTGAGTCTTCAAAATAAGTTATAGCATGACAGTTACTCGACATGGACCTGGTAACCCTTAGGCAAATGGGTAAAACATGGTGTCAGAATTTCTATAAATAAAGCTATTTTTTTTTACAAGTGGATCCCTCTGAATCAGCGGCTCTTAACCTGCCAGTTGTAACCCTTTTTTTTGGGTCAAACAACCCTTTCACAGGGGTCGTCTAAAACCATAGGAAAACATGTATTCATTGAAGTTATGAAGGAAAATCATTGTTCACATTGGGGGGGGGGGGGGAGGGGGGGGAAAGGTGTCCCCCACAACATGAGGGAACTGTATTAAAGGGTTGCAGCATTAGGAAAGTCGACCCTTTTTTGGGATCTTAGGGGTCACCTAAGACCATAGGAAAACACATATTCATTGAAGTTATGAAGGAAAACTATTGTTCGGGGGTTGCCACAACATGAGGGAACTGAATTAGAGGGTTGCGGCATTAGGAAAGTTGAGAGCCACTGCTCTAAATGCTACTTTAAGTAAATGTAATCATTCCCTGCCTTGCCAGGCTTTTGTGCAGATACAGACGGAATCGAATTCTGATAGCTTTGCTTCTTGTGAACAAGCCACTATAGCGAGCTGGGAAAACAGCTCTTACATGGAAATGGCACTATCTGGAAGTGCCAGGTTCGAGGCTTCTTAGGGTGACCAGGTTAACAACCATTCACTAAGTGATTGACTGAAATAGGAATGGTATATCAGAACTTTGAAACTCTGTTACAGACACCAATATGCTTGTATTACTTGTTGGAAATGTTCTTATTTTACTTATTTTCAATGTACAAGCAAGAAAAGACCCTCTTTATGTAGTCATTGAGGTTTCAACTTCACTACAAATGAGTTGCCCCTCAGTTGCTACATTCCTATTCCAGTGGAAATCACAAAATGTCCCTCACTTTCCCATTTCTTCTTCTTCTTCTGCATTCGATATCAGTCATGCTAAACATTGAGTCCCGTCTGGGTCACAAATAGGATTGTGCGTTTAAGGTCGCCACCGGTCCCCCATAGCTTCTCTTGCAATGTGGCTCCTTTAGGCCAGATCCACAGTCTTTGCTGGGAGAGGTAAGGGCAGTACTGCAGTATGTGTTCAGGGGTTTGTCTTTCTGCTCCACAATCACAGGCAGCAGATTCTTTTATGCCTATTCTGTACAAGTGTGCTCGAAGACCACAGTGTCCAGTCCGAAGTCTAAGAATTGATGTTTGTTCTTTCCTGTTGAGTTTGTTTATGCTGTCACTCTCTGGTCTGTAATCTCCATTCTGCCTTCTCCACTCCCGCTTGAAAGACTGCTTTAGCGCTGTTTTGGTTTCCTTGTAGCTGTGTGGTGGATGAGGTTGTGGAAGATTACTCCCAGCTTTTGCCAACTCATCTGCTCTCTCATTTCCTTGAATACCACAGTGGGCTGGTATCCACTGCAAGACCAGTTCTGCTTCCTTGGAGAGTAAGCCAATGTTGGTCCTTAGATCAGCAATTATTTTGTCTTGTTTTTTGCTGGATAGTGCTTGGAGAACAGACAACGAGTCGCTAAGTATAACAATTTGGTGCCCTCTGTGTTCTTGACTGATGAGATGTTGGACTGCAGAGAGGAGGGCAGTTGCCTCAGCTCTGAAGTTAGTGCAGATGTCACCTGCTGGTAGAGAGAGAGTTTCTGCTCTACTGCTAGGGGGTTTAATGTAAATTCCACAACCCCCCTTTCTGACTGCATCTGTAGCAGAGCCGTCGGTGAAAACCTGAGTCCAAGTGGTGTTTAGATACTTCTCATCAAGCATAGCAAGACAGGGTTCTCTGTTGTGCTCCGTTCTTTTGAAGGTTGCTTGTCCATGGGGTTCTGGCCTAAGTTTTTCGCACAGTGCAACATCTCTTTCAAGCAGATCTTGGTGCTGTCTGTACAGTTCTCTAGCAAGGTGGTTGGGGCTCTGACGCTTCAGTCTGTTTTTTGTTCTCTCTTGAAATTTAAAATGCAGTGGGTGACTTTGAAGTCTTTTTAATTTTTCATACTGTAAAAGAGTTTTGTATTGTCTTCTGAGTTCGAGTGGTTCAGTATCTGCTATCTTTTCTATTTCTCTGATGGGGGTGGTTTTCATGGCTCCGAGAACAATCCTTAATCCCATATTCTGAACCTTGTCCAGTTTTCCCATTGTTGTCTTGGCTGCTGCAGCCCATGCAGTGGAGGCATATTCCATGACTGGCCTGACTGCTCCAGTATATACTTGTTTTAGGATTCTAGAGTTAGCGCCCCATGTGGTACCCGCTAATTTTTTCATAACTGCAAGCTTCTTGAATGCTTTTCCCTGTACTGCTTCTACATGTGACTTCCAAGTTAGTCGCGAATCAAGTGTAACGCCCAGAAAGGTAGGAGTGTCAGTCTGTGAAATGAGCTGGTTTTTAATCCAAATTTCGATTTTTTCTTTTTTTGGGGAGAGAGAGAAAAGTGATGCTGTGCTTTTTGATTTATTTAGCTTTAGACCCCACTTTACGGTCCTTGCTTCTACATTTTCCACAGTTTTTTGTAACAGATATGAGGCTGTGGTAGTGTATTCGGAGGCTGTCCAAACTGCAAAGTCATCGACATGTAGGGTATTAAAAACGTGCTGGTGGCAGGTTGCTGTGATATCATTAATGTAAACCAGGAACAGAGTTGGTGATATAGCACTGCCCTGGGGAACTCCTTCTCTAAGTTTTGCCAGTTTGCCAATGTGTCCATCAATTCTGAATCTGGCTCTGTGTTGGAATAGAAAGTCTTTGATCCACTTGTACGTGTTGTGCATAACTCCTGCCTGTAGCAGTTTTAGTTGTATGCCTTCTTTCCAAACTGTATCAAAAGCACGAGAGAGGTCAAAAAAGACAACAAGAACTTTCTTTTTTTCCTGGAAGGCATTCTCAATTTCCTGTGTCAGATATGTCAACTGGTCCTCTGTATTTCTGTGCTGTCTGTATCCTGTCTGGGTGGTGGTGATTACTGAGTTTGTCTCCAGGAACCATATTAGTCTTTTATTTACTAATTTCTCCATCAATTTTCCTACACAACTAAGAAGGCTAATAGGTCTGTAGCTTTTTGGGTCTCTTCTGTCTCCACCCTTTTTAAGGATAGGCTGGATGAGGGCTTCCTTCCAGGCTGACGGTACTACCCCTTTTTGCCAGCTCTGGTTGTAGATGCAGAGGAGAAACTTCTTGGCAGCAGGTCCAAGATGAGAGAGAAATTCGTTTGTAATGCCGTCAGCCCCTGGGGCTTTCTTCATTTTCAACTCTCCAATTCCAACTTCCAGCTCTTGCATGGTAAACCTTTCTGACATGCAGGCCTCTTTTGTTTTTGTGCTAAAGTCTGCTAGAAGAGTCGTGGTCTGGTTTCGTACTTCTTTTATTCTTTGCATGGGAATATGAACCTCAGTTTCCTTCTGGTGTGTTTCGGCTAGCACATCTGCTGCTACCTTGCCAGTAAACGATCCATCGTCTGTTTGGAGTACAACTCTGGCTTTTTCCGTCTTGTCTCCATTCAAGCTTTTTGTGAGATTCCACAACGTGAAGTGTCCTTCTCGAGGTTAAATGACGCTGTCTTTTTGTGCCAGCTTTCCCTCATCTGATTATTTCTCTCTCTGACGAAGGCTGCTTTTGCTCTGTTATGAAGTATTACATTTTTATCTGTCGGATCCTTCTCCATATTTTCCCTCCTGGTACTAAGTTTGGAATGCAGAGTGTCCAGTTCAGGAGACCAGTAAGGTTTAAAGTTTTTCCTGCTGCCTCGTGGTATGTTACCCTTGGCTGCATTTAGAATAGTCGTGTTGAGGATCTTCAGTTTGGCATTTATTTCCAGTCTTCTGAAGAAGACTCTCTTCAACATGTTGTCCAAATAGGAAGTGAAAAGGCTCCAGTTAGCCTTCTTGTAGTTCCAGCTGGGAGGGTTCTTTTCCTTAGTAACTTCTCTACTTTTGTTAATAGAAAGGATTACGGGCCTGTGATCACTGCCTCCCAGCTGTTGACATACATCCTGGCTGGTAACTTTCTCCACATCTTCAGTTGCTATAGCCAAGTCTGGAGTGCTGGTTTTCCTCCAAGCTCGAGAGTAGAATGTGTCTGGGTCGTCACGGTGATTTATCAGAACTAGAGTGATTATCCAGTTGCTGATTATCCAGTTTTCTACCTCTTCTCCTTTCGCATTGAGGTCTGTGTAGCCCCAGCTAGGTGAGTGGCTATTTAGATCTCCGACAGCAATCCAGTTTTCTGTGTTTAGTAGGATGGGTCCCAGATTAATATCTCTGTTTGGTGGTGAGTAGATGTTGCATACTGCCACATCTTCCCTTGCACCCTTGATAGTGACTGTGATAAACTCTGTATCCCCACACTGAGATCTCTGGGTTTCCCAAGCTGTGATCGTTTTCTTCAGCCTCACTCCCTCAGCATTCCATGCGTAGATGCCCGATTTTTAGTCTCGTGCCAAGTAGGCTGACATCTTCCGACTTCGACGGTTGAGGTTTTATTTTCAGGATTCCCCCTCCCATAGGCTGATTGCCTTCCAGGGCTTATGAGTTCTGCCTACCCACATTTTCTGTCGGGCTTTGTTGCCCTAGCCTTTGTTCTTACAGGAACTTCCCACAAGGCAGTGGTGGTTTGGCTTTCGGTGTGTCCTTCACGTAAATGAATTGCCTTTCAGGGCTTTTGAGCTTCATCTGCCCAGGGTTTAATTAATACAAAAGTGAGGGTTTAATAACGGTCACCCCAGTAGAGCCTCGTGCTGGGGAAGGAACTAGGGACGCAACATCCATCAGCCAGATGTCGCTCCTGTACATCATGACTGCCTTCGTTAACGACTGTGCTCCCCGACAGCCATGCAGTTTATTGGCACGAAGGAAACGCCTTAAACTTGGGTTCTGGACTACCGACTCCCTACATGCTGACACCTGTGTGTTATTGGTGTACAAAATTTGTCATTTTTCTGTCATATAACATTAGCCCGTGCATATGTTCCAGCATACATAAAAAAAATTTAAAAAAAAAAATAAAAAATACTATTTTTATGTATACATGCTTACTAACACTTGCACATACCAATAATAATTGTGACAAGAAATAACAGTAATTAACAGTTTACAGGTACTCCCACATCAAAGTAGAGAGGGAGAAAGAGGCACATGTACACATAAAAGAATATAGAGGGATAAAGAGGGGGAGGAGGAGAAGGAGAGAGAGAGAGAGAGATCACTAAATGACTAATTCCTCCAGAAGGGAAAATGTTCAACAATGCTTCTATACTGTAATCCAGGTAGTTGGTGTAGGGCAGGGCATCAAAACTGTCAAGTCACTTTCCCATTTGAAAACTAGTGAGCAAACAGTTAGTCCCTGCAAAATACAGAAACTGCACATCGGGAGACACCACCATCAAAATTTCGTGGCCCTGATGCTGATTTGGACCCTTAGCCTAGACAGATGTCTAGCCACTGCTCTACCATATCTTCCACAGCTAGCAAAAAAAAAAAAAAAAAATAGGTAGAGGTATATGAGCAAGAAAAGACAGCTTTTTGGTTAATTAGTCGACAGATTATCCTTGTTGCACATCAAACCATTCAGTCCATGAGTGCTTGGGTGGCGCGGTGATTTATGTCACAGGCGTGAGGGGAAGTTAAGTCCAACATGATGTGTATAAGGAGATACTCCGTACGTCACTCGGGTGCCAGTCCTTTACTATCCTGGTTGTACGGAACCTCACGCAAGACCCCTGCAGCACGTCCTCGTCGTGCGCCACGGATAATGTCTCAAATGAGCATTAACAGAGCTGTCAGGGGATCTCGGAGTTCGGCGGCCCCCAGAGGTGATGTGTCTTTGTGGCTCTCATCAGCCCGCCCCCAAACGCTTGGGTGAAAAATGTTATCAAAACTCTTTAGGAACATGAGTAGGTTTGCCAAACGTACAGCCAAAATTACAACCCTTGGTTAAAAGACTGCGGAGTAAAGAGAACATTGTTCACTGCACATCCTCGGTTAACCCTCAGTGTCGTTGTCACCGCGCTGAGGTACACCACAACAGCAACCATCCATAGGCTGGCCATTCATGTACATCCTCGGTTAACCCTCAGTGTCGTCGTCACCGCGCTGAGGTACACCACAACAGCAACCATCCATCGGATGGCTAAGCCTAAATGTCCGACAAAACAAGATCATTGAACTGAAAAAGACCGAATGTCCACACCCAAAGACCCCACTTGCCCGAGTGTCGGGACAAAACTGATAACGATATGCAGGATGTAAAATTCTGTCGGGCTAACGGCTCGTCAAAGAAATCTAACGTGCGAAGAAAAAAGAATGTACCTATCTGTGTGGTCACAAAAGTCCAAAACCCATGGGCTGCTCCCCGCTGACTTCCAGAGGGCGCAGCCCCTGTCGAGCGGGAGGCCTGATACGGTTGTGAGGTTAAGCAGGCATGTGCAGGACGTGACGATTCCTTGGGTGAGCCTAGAACCAGAGCGCCATGTGCCGGCTCTGCATGCATGGAAGCCTCCTTGGATGGCGGGGAATGCCCATGATCTGCCCCTGCCTTCCCTTGAGGGCTAACTGTTCCACAGGTGGCTGCCCCAAAGGGGTACTCCGTGGGCAATACCTGCGGAGAAGGAGACAAAGTGGACACCACACAAATCAGGCAACGTCTCGACCCACACAAAACAATGGCCACAGTCACCCTAGAAATAGGCCTGACGTCTTCCTTCGAAGTCGGAGTACAGCTGCCCATGAGGCAGGGAAATGAAAAACGGTTGTACACGCAAAAATCAGGTCCATTTGAAAGCCAAAAGTCCAAGCGGACGATCAACGGGACCTTCCACTGGAATTCACAGCCGGTGATCGATTAAAAAAAAAAATGAGTGCTCAGTAAATTCCGCAGTTGTAGAGGCTGACGACACCAGTTCTGTGTTGGTTTCTTATTCTTCTTTGACTTCCTGAATATCGCTCTTAGGCTCTTGTCTGGCCACACCTCTTTTAACATGCTGTTCTTGCAGTCTGGTTATGGTTGTAGATTCAGTCATCACTTGGTTCTCCTAGAGCATTCAGCATATTGGCCTGGTCCATGGAGGGTGTATTAATTAGTTCTATTTTTGTTCTCATTCACCTGCTATTCTTCTTCTGCGTTCGACATCAGTCATGCTAAACATTGAGTCCTGTCTGGGTCACAAGTAGGATTGTGCGTTTAAGGTCGCCACCGGTTCCCTATAGCTTCTTTTGCAATGTAGGTCCCTTGCGTCAGATCCACAGTCTTTGCTGAAAGACGTTAGGGCAGTACTGCAGTATTCACCTGCTATATCTTTTTTCCCTCTTGCTGTAAACTCTGGTGGAAAATTCTGGTTGTTCGTCAACTTCTGGACTTTGATCTTGTTCCAGGACTTGAGTATTGTACGCATATCCGTTTTACAGATCTAGTTTATTTGTACGCAGACTGTTAGTTCCTTGTCTCTCATACAGATGCAGTCAGGCTTTGAAAGAAACACTTCTCTGTTAGTTGCCTTTTCACGTCATGCTTGTTAGAGGGGTAGTAGGTCTTTTTTCTCCCATACTAGGCTTAGGAACCCATGTGGTGAACTGGTTATAAACTTTGATGGAAAATCCTGCCCCCCCCCCCCCCCCCCGAGACTTAGGTCTTGCTCCAGGACCTGAATGTTGTGTCATAATTATCATCATCCTGTAACACTGGGTGTTGTTGGGTCACCACTTGCTCTTGACTGTCCGATCAGCTCTCTCCACCTTTGATGGTCATATACAGTGGACTTCATGGTGGCATATCTGAGGCCTGTCCAGTCAGTCAAGTTTTTCCTCTTCTTCTTTATCCACCAGCTTCAGTGGAAAGTCTTGGTTGTTGGTCCATTTGGACTTTGACTTTGTGTATTGAAATGAGCATGGCCGAGACCGGGTTGCACACAATATTCGTGTTCCTGATATATGCAAAAGACAAACAACACCGTTGACTCCTCTATTCTCTGCAGTTGTTATTTCTCCAAACTCTTTCTGCCTAGTGTCACATAGACCAGTGAGATACCAACTGTACCTTTCCAGCTAGTGTTGTAATTCTGCTAGTTTAACAGTCTGCCTAAATGTGCGGACATTCCATCAAACACTACTGTGTTTCTTTCAGTTACCTACTTCCTATTGTGATGATCAGTAGCTAACTTTTCGCATCCGTCCTTGATGGATGGCGCGGTCTTTGATAACCCGGATAATGACTGAGCTGGTGTAGAATTATCCTATCTCATCATGGTGCGTCTCTGGCAGTATTTCACTGCTGGCGGGCCCCAATCCTTTCTAGGTGGCCATTTCCCAGATAGTCTGTATCGAATTTTGTGTGCACGTCTGTTTTACACCTCTGGGTTGTTTGTCTGCAGACTGTAAGTTGCTTGCCTCCAAGGCAGATGCATTTTTACTTCAAAAGAAACATCTATCCCATCTACTTTGTTCAGGCCCCCGTTTGGGAACCTGTTTTCTAGGATGACCCCTTATTGGTGAAGATAGGTCTTGACCTTATGGGCGTGTGGTTTAGCACCTCAGCATCCATTTTTCTTCTGTATATGACCAAAAACAAAGAAGATAAACAAGAAGGATAAAGATCATTTATGTACTTTCACCTAACAAAGAAAAACCTGGCCTCAAGAGCAGAGTATCCAGACCAACCTGTGGGAAGGCATGTAGGGCAGGGCTTTTCAGCTAAGTTTACTGAGGGGCTAAAATGTTGAAACTGGGAGTTGTCATTTGCCAGAGGCCCAGTTACCAGTGCAGAAAGATCAGTAATACAACACAGCTGGCAATGATCTCCGGGCCACTTGATATGCCTCCGCGGGCCAGATGGCTACCAGTTGAATAGCCTTGATATAGGACAGGCAACTGACATGTACATTCATAGAGGCAGCCCAGCTGACAGTCTAACTGAGCATACAAAACTAAAATGCCAAGAAGAAGAAGACAATTTTGTTTCAAATGAAACATTTATGTTTCAGCTGATTGGATTATGTTGGAATACAGAGAGGGAGAGAACTATGGTAACCATTGTACCGGTGAGAAGAAGAGATCCGTTGTTATGATAACATGTGACCCAAACATTGATGATGTAAGTTCTAGGTTTCTGTCAGTCTGGTATTTGTTTCACCTGTAATTCTTCGTCTCTTATTTTACAGTGCGCCCAGGTGGGTTTCCTGGGGCCAATTTTTTAGAGAAAAAGACGAGACCCACCGTACCCTAACATGCATGTTGTAAAAGTTGACTAATTAGGAGTATTCCTTTGAGGTCTGAATGCATTTGTTTGAAAGGTGAGAACCAACAGTCTGCATTAAAAAAAGCAAAATCTATAAAACGGATGTGCATGTGGAACTCAGGTTTTCGAACAAGACTATAAAGTCCACATGTGGACACTCAACCAGCACTTTCCACTTGAGTTTACAGTTGGTGAACGATAAGAAGAAGAATCATTTTATAGTTGGGAGCCAGAGGCGATGAACCACACGTGGTGGAGAAACACGACCAGAGATCATACTGGTCAGGTCCTTTGTACACCTCATGTTCCCAGTCGGGGACCTGGCCATCATATATAAGATCATTGTGTTCTTCGCTGAAATGCTTCAGAAACATTAGGACAATACTATAGACCAAGAAGAAGAAAATGCCGACATCATATGTCAAAGCGATTTATCTGCTTGCTTGCTTGTTGTACCCCACCAGGACATCACACAAGCGATAAACATCTGGTGACACAAAGTGCCATCATGCAGATGGAGTGGTCCCAGAAACCCCTTTCAGCCGTTATGGCCACAAATGTGACCCAGCTATATTCAGGCCCCCTCCCCCTCCCCACTGTTACCACTGATGGGTTCATAATCTGTTTTTCCTGCCTGATCTGTGTCCCCACCCCAGTCCATGATTTGTTCCCCCTGACTTCATGATTTGTAAGCACTGACAGATTCATAATCTGTTTCCTTGCCTGATCTATGATTGTTTCCCCTGATTAATCCATGATTTGTTTTCCCTGTCTGATTCATGATTTGTTATCCATGACTAATCCAAGATGTGTTTCTTCTGCCTGATCCACGGTTTTTTCCACTGATAATCAATGATTTTCTGTTTCACATATCCCCCACCCCAATCCATGATCGTTTTCCCTGACTAATCAATGATTCGTTTCCTTTGCCTGATCGATAATATGTTTACCCTGCTTAATCCAAGATATATTTACCCTGTCTGATCCAAGATTTGATTCCCTGGCCCGATCCACGATTGGTTTCACCTGTCTGATCTACGATTTGTTTCCGCTGACTGATCCACAGTTGGTTTCCCCTGACTGATCCACGATTTGTTTTTGCTGACTAATCCAAATTTGTTTCCCCTGACTGATCCACAGTTGGTTTCCCCTGACTGATCCACGATTTCTTTCCGCTGACTGATCAACGATTTGTTTCCCCTGACTGATCCACAGTTGGTTTCCCCTGACTGATCCACGATTTGTTTCCGCTGAATGATCCACGATTTGTTTCCCCTGACTGATCAGTGATTGGTTTCCCTGACTGATCAGTGATTGGTTTCTCCTGCTTGCTCCAGAACCAGGCCCAGATGGTATTTATGAAGGAAGAAAACACCAAGACTGAACAGTGCTACTACTTGTTTGAGATGAAACATCAGGCAGCATGTCCAACAGTTTCTGGCTCTGGTTCACTCAGCGTAGGAACTATCCTTGTCATTGTGTAAGTCATTGTTTGTTGTTGTTACTGCTTCCATTTGTTTTTACAAATTATTGTTTCTTTCCATTTGTATTTACAAATTATTGTTTCTTTATTTTCCTTGTTTGTGTGATAAATTTTTGTGTAATTTGAATGTTATTGCATTGTGTTTATGTATAGTGCAGCTGCGATATTTAATGCTAACATATCCAACTTCTTCCTGTCATTTGTTAAATGGGTTCCTCTGTCTTGGCAGATTTATCATCGGTTGCCTTGCCTGTCATGATTTATGTACCGTGTTTTTCTTTTTAAAGCTTGATTTATGACGCATCCTTTAAGGAAGATGCATTGAGTGCTTGCCATTTATCTAGGGAAAATGTTTATAAATGTCAATCCTCCACACACAAAGGATTCCCTCAGATGACGAACCATGGCCGCCCACTCTTACTGGCACGGCACATGCTAATGGTGATTATTACTGGAGGTAAGGAGGGCAACCCAGACAGGAGCACCACGATGAGCCAGGCACAAGTAACAAGTTAACAACCACAGTATATCTGGCACGTGTCCCATCATAACCACTAACACTGTCTTATAATGCTGTAAAACAATACACCACTCCAGGTAGGTTGTGATAGTGAAGTCTGTCTTTATTATGGACGAACACTTAGCGACAAAGATGAATTAGTGATCAGTGACCCAGTGTCAGTCTACCATGCCTGCTAAATACACCCACATTGGCAGTCTCCTGAACATGGAGAAAAACACCTTGGCGAACTATGTACAGGTTGCTGCTACAGGTGACTCACACCCCATCATGCAACTAGTCTGCATGATGTGCACTGACAGTTTTCTGATGGCTCTCTATCCAAAGACCTCACCACTCGAGGGCCAAAGCACTTGGTGAAAAGAATCCAGACCTCCATCTGCTACACAGTAACTCATTAAAAGTGTCACTGGCCGACCTCCAGACAACGACAGCAGTCTGTAGAAACAAAGGGCATATCCCTCCACCAGCCTGTATTTCTGATACCTCCCCATCACAACTTCACATTGGCCAACAGAGAGAAAGTTACCACAGCACCTTCTGTAGCACTTAAAGACATCTCATCAACCAGGATGTCACACATCAGCAACTTTTCCAACCCCAAGAAACATAGGCAGGCACAACCTTCATTCTAGGAAAATCACACTGACTGCTTTCAGAAGTTCAACTTATGAACACTACATTCACTGGGCAGTTCATGAGCTCCAACGGAATAAAAGAACATTACTAACACTCACACAACATGACATGTGACTGTCCTGTCTCGCGGACTGAGGGCTACTGAATCAAACATGCCACAAATTCATGGCAACAGAGGTAATTTCAACATGGATCTCACTTTCCCCCATACAACTCAGTGTGTTTGCAGTCACCGTGAATATCAAGCAACCTGTGTTTCACAACTTTAAGTGACTCAAATGTTTACATTCACAACCCATTAACACAATACGAATGCCAGTGTGTCCCCATCCTTCACAAACCCCAGGCATCATTATCTCCTTACGCAGCAAAGTGACTTTTACAAGCAGCACCCCTTCCTGTGTGGGTTCTGGGACCCTCATTTTTGGGACGGCAAAAGAATGGACATATGGCTCTTTTTAACAAGCATGCCGTAAAAAGACTAATCAAGGATTTTCTAAAAATCAGACGTGTTGGGCCAAAAGGGGGAGATATCACAGCCTGGCTGTAAGGGTGAATGCAGAAGAAGAATGTTTCATGGATTGTCCTCTCATGGAACAGTTTTACAGGAAAGGTTCCAAGTTTTTCTTTTTACGTGGAGGAGGAAAAGACATGGAATAATATTAATAATAATACATAGCAGTAGAAGTAATATGGCTGGTGGTAGTGGTGGTAGAAGATGTTGATGAGGATGACAAAGAATAAGAAAAGAAGTCTGTGGCTCTGTGTATATGCCTCTATGTTTACTGAGTGAAGATGGTTATGCCACCACTATATTTCTTCTTATTTTGTTTTTCAGATTTTTCAGCGTCCTTGGTGTGTACCTTTTGATTGGCTTTTTATATGCCAGGTTTGTACTTCGAGCTAAAGGCATTGAACAGATACCCAACTATGAGTTCTGGAAAGACTTTGGAAATCTGCAGGCCGTAAGTGGTTTGCTCTTGATGTTTTTGTCACTTTCTAAATCAGGGCTATTCAACTAAGTTTGCACGTGGGCCAAAATGTTGAACATGGAGATCGTCGCGGGCCGGTGCTAGAGCCCACACTACAATTGACATTTTCATTCTGTAGATTTAATACACTCAAAAACTATTATGCCTAGGACTTAGCCTATATAAATGAAGCAGTGTTGTAAACCATTATAATGTAAAGTGTACTATAATCTTCTGTAATGATTATTTAATACTCACTTTTAATTATTCTTCTTCTTCGTATTCGCCGGCTGTAAACTCCAGCATTAAGTTCTGGTTGTCCGTCTACTTCTGGACTTTAGTCCTGTTCCAGAAAATGAGTGTTGCGTATACATCAATTTTACATGTCTTACTCATTTGCATGCAGACTGTGGGTTCATGGGTTCTCAGGCAGATGTACTCAAACTTCGAAGGAAGCTCCCAACTAGTCGACTCTTGCGACTTTCTTTTGAGTACGCAGTGGGTCTGTTCTCATTTCCCCACAAAAGGGACACAGGGATCAATTTTAATTGAAATACACTTATTTCCAACTTGTCATTGGGCTCATAAATAAACGTTGCCTTTTTCACTTCCGTTACATTGTCACAATAATAATAATAACTGTCCACAGTTGGTTTCGTATTCTGCTGAAGAAACCGAAAGGTATAACGATGCAAAATGTAATTAATGGGAATGCTACATTTTCGTTTTTGAGCTAATTTTACCAAATTTGGCTGGTGAGAAGTTAGAGCAATTCTTATGCAATCCTGCAGCCTATTATTGCTCAGTGAGCTCCGACTGTTTGTCTTGATGACATTTATGTTATAAGCTTGATTCACAAGTAAAAGTTGAGCCATACATGGTGAGTATGAATACAGAAACTTTTTTAGCCTTGTGGAACTGCTCCTGTTGAATCCTCTCAGACCAAAATTTGCAGTACCACTTTCTTGACAATCTTCATTCAGTGCACTGGAACTTTGGATATCCACAAGTTCTTACTGCAAAGAACCTTCATCAACAGAGGATATCAACTTCTTAGCATTGAAAGAAAAATCACCCGCAGGAGGGATTTCAAAAAAGATCTCGAACGAATATCATTACATTGTTTGGGATATTGAATTTGTCATATCTGTTGTTGAAATTATTCTGAAGCTTTTTTAAAATATTTATATCATTCGATCGGTTGAGGTTGCCGAAACCAGTGTTGAAAAACTAAAATAGCAAGCATACTGGTTTCGAATTAGGCAACGTTGGTGATATAAATAAATTTTTCAGTGACCAGTCACTGTTGAATGCACAATTTTCACATCCCCACTTTGCTCGCTTACTAGTGTTAGCCATGGCATCAAGTATTTCACTAAATTTTTAAAATTAGACAATATAAAACACTGTTGCTGATTCACTTTGTTACTGTACAATCCCGTCTGGCAATCTAGGCCTGACTGTGACTTGTATGTGACTGGACGTTCTTCTGGACGTTATAATCTGATAACAAGATCACTAGCAGGTATTCTGCCGTGTCCAGTGATGTTCTGCTGCATCCAATGTCATTAGTTTGTAATCTCTGTAATCTAAGCTCTAACTGTCAGGACTGTGCCAGCATTTCCGTACTCCTCCTGTCCAATATATATCTCACATTCATTGACTGTCCCTGTGCAGCGGTGTCCTTCCTACCTGATACTTGATTCTTTCCAGCCTACCTTTGGCTTCAAACAGGCAAGTTTTGATACTTGAACGAACTGGGAACAAACTTTTACACTGATCTAATGACTTTTTCTGTTCCTATGTCGGTTTCCTTGTATCTTCGCATTTACAAATTCATGACCACTTCCTCTTGAAACATTCTGGCCGGCTCACTACTCTCAGGGAAAAGGCAAGACAGACATATAACCAGATTCAGACTGGGACTATCAGTATTAGAACTCGGCGATGGCTGCTGAAGATGAGGACAGAGCACACATGGGAATGCCCCAAATGCTGTGATGTCAATTCTTGACTCAGCTCAACTATTTACATATAAATTTGTTATGCTTGCATGCATATCCAAATATCATGGGTTCATGTCATCACGTAGCCAGATTTTTCTTCCTTTTTTTTTTTAAAATTACCTTGCTTTCCAGGATGATCCAGCCTTAAATGGGTACCAGGTAAAGTCGTGGTAAGTAAAGGCAGTCGTTGTGATCTTGACCACATCACATCACCCACCGAGGTCTATAAAATATTGGTCAAGCCATATATATGCCCCATACGCCTGAATGCGTGGAGAAGGGCCCTTTACATTTCTCTACCTTTTAGATAAATTTGTTGTGTTCAGTGTTATTGTTTTAGTAAAGCTTACAACCCTTTGTGGTTTCTGGGACTCTGTTTTGGAAGCGGGAAAAGACCCACTACCTCCATAACAAGTATGTTATAAAAGGTAACTAATTACAGGTTTACAAAAATTGGATGTTATGGGCTGAAAGATGCAGTTGTTTTAGCTTAGCTGTTCCAGTGTGGATTCCAGGGCTAATTTGTGGGGAAAGGGGGGGGGGGGGGGGGCGCTGCTCTCTAACAGGAATGTGTTGAGCCAGAAGGTGCACTTATAACAGCCTAGCTTAAAACCACAAGATGGTGTGCCAGCTGCCCTTTCACTCATTCAGTCCCAGATGGTTTTAAGGTACAAACCTAATTTGTGTAATAATCACAGTTAAAAGGGCATAAGATTATGACTTACAAAGACACAGCATGCACATTAAATGCATAAAGCGGCAGTCAGAAGTGCCAACGCAATCAGTCTGACAAAAGACATGCGGTTCAATATAGATGGAAACAGCAGTTACAGCAGATAGGTAGTTGCACATGTAATTAATTACATGAGGCACAACAGGTCACTAACCGTTTACTGAATTTGCAGTTTACAAAACAAACCATATTGGGCACAGTTGCAGAGCATTCTAAATAAAATCCGCAGATCACAGTGTTGTGCCATGCACTCAGCTTAGTATCTTGGCGGTCTACAAATGGAAGAAAATGCAAGAGTTAACTAATGTTAGAAGCAAAAACTTAAAGACATGTGCACACATAACTGAGCACACATGGTGTATTGCTTGGACAGAAAGAGTTAAAGGCGAACGCAGAATAATTAGTTGCCTAGCTGTAGACCACAACACAGTGTGTCAACCACCCTTATAACGGGCAAGTGAAGAAGACTTACATACCTGACCTTAAAACAAATATTTATTTTTCATAGGATGGTTGTGACTTCATATGCAGAACAAAAGAACGCCGACGCATGGATCATTTTGGTGGAATCGGGGACGACCAGCTGGAGTCAGCTGAGGAAATCCGTGACGATAATCTTTTACCTATGTAACTTATTGATGCATTTTTTGATGAATTAAAAATATCAAGATTCCAGACATTACTCTGAACAATATGTGATGATAATTGTCTATGTGTATTATTTACTTGTGTCATTTGTTGTAGCCTCTTTGATGTCATAGTTCATCAGAGACATTCATCTACTGTGACTGTTACTATATGGAATTTACCTGTCTTATCACAAACGCCACTACACCATCAAGGCTCAAATGTACTGTATATTAAATAAGGGTGGGGGTATTAAATAACTGAAATCAGTGGAGAACTAGGTTTGAGGTTTGAAGTTGATAAATAACTGAAATCAGCGGAGAACTAGGTTTGAGGTTTGAAGTTGATAAATAACTGAAATCAGTGGAAAACTAGGTTTGAGGTTTGAAGTTGATAAATAACTGAAATCAGCGGAGAACTAGGTTTGAGGTTTGAAGTTGATAAATAACTGAAATCAGCGGAGAACTAGGTTTGAGGTTTGAAGTTGATAAATAACTGAAATCAGCGGAGAACTAGGTTTGAGGTTTGAAGTTGATAAATAACTGAAATCAGCGGAGAACTAGGTTTGAGGTTTGAAGTTGATAAATAACTGAAATCAGCGGAGAACTAGGTTTGAGGTTTGAAGTTGATAAATAACTGAAATCAGCGGAGAACTAGGTTTGAGGTTTTAAGTTGATAAATAACTGAAATCAGTGGAGAACTAGGTTTGAGGTTTGAAGTTGATAAATAACTGAAATCAGCGGAGAACTAGGTTTGAGGTTTGAAGTTGATAAATAACTGAAATCAGCGGAGAACTAGGTTTGAGGTTTGAAGTTGATAAATAACTGAAATCAGCTGAGAACTAGGTTTGAGGTTTGAAGTTGATAAATAACTGAAATCAGCAGAGAACTAGGTTTGAGGTTTGAAGTTGATAAATAACTGAAATCAGCAGAGAACTAGGTTTGAGGTTTGAAGTTGATAAATAACTGAAATCAGCAGAGAACTAGGTTTGAGGTTTGAAGTTGATAAATAACTGAAATCGGCGGAGAACTAGGTTTGAGGTTTGAAGTTGATAAATAACTGAAATCAGCGGAGAACTAGGTTTGAGGTTTGAAGTTGATAAATAACTGAAATCAGCGGAGAACTAGGTTTGAGGTTTGAAGTTGATAAATAACTGAAATCAGCGGAGAACTAGGTTTGAGGTTTGAAGTTGATAAATAACTGAAATCAGCGGAGAACTAGGTTTGAGGTTTGAAGTTGATAAATAACTCAAATCAGCAGAGAACTAGGTTTGAGGTTTGAAGTTGATAAATAACTGAAATCAGCAGAGAACTAGGTTTGAGGTTTGAAGTTGATAAATAACTGAAATCAGCAGAGAACTAGGTTTGAGGTTTGAAGTTGATAAATAACTGAAATCAGCGGAGAACTAGGTTTGAGGTTTGAAGTTGATAAATAACTGAAATCAGTGGAGAACTAGGTTTGAGGTTTGAAGTTGATAAATAACTGAAATCAGTGGAGAACTAGGTTTGAAGTTTGAACAATGGATCAACATCATAGCACACAGGTAGTAACTCATACGTGCTCTGTTCTTCTTCTAACTCATCAGAGTCTGAAGAAGCTCAGCACAATGCACAGGTTCTGTAGCACTGGCAAGGATCCTGAAATACTTTAGGTAGATTTTTAACTCTAAATTTTGCCTGGGCAGTGCCCTTAGACTACTCTTTTTTTATTTCCAACTGCCAAGGAATTTTTTTTTACATGTGCAAGGTGCACACGGGTGTTCGATCTCACTACCCAGAGACCAGGGGGAATTACTAGAAGTCCAAGTCCACATGAAAAAATTCCAGCCCTAACTGGGGATTGAACCCGGAACCTCTAGCACTCGAGGCAGATACCATGCAGCCCCCTTCAGTGGTGAAAATGTCCTGAAGCTTGAACTGAATTTACTTAAATTGATAGAATAAACTTATTTAGTCATAGACAGTGCATGTTGTGTGACTTTATGAGTCCCAAACATTGCAGATCATGTTCTCTTACTTTTATATTTGGCCATAGTATATACTAAAAAATTCTTCTTCTGCCTTTCTATCCCCCAATGGAACATAGGCCCTCAACCAACTCACGCCAAGTCATTCTATCCTTCGCCATTGCATGGAGCTCTCCCTGTCTTTCCAATCTTTCTAACCTCATTCTCCAGCTCTCTTCTCCATGTGTTTTTTGGCCTTCCTTTATTCCTATGCCCCTGTGGGTTCCAATGCAAAGATATTCTAGTTATGCTGTTTTCTCAGTGTGTGCCCTATCCAACGCCAGCGTCTTTTCCTTACCTCTTGGTCCACTGGAGCCTGTTTAGTTCTCTCCCAAAGTTCTACATTAGTTATTCTATCATACCATTTAATTCCCTCTATTCTGCACAGGCACCAGTTAATAAATGTCTGTAATTTATTAGTAATTGCTTTGGTTGTTCTCCATGTTTCCGCCCCATACAAAAGTACTGATTTGACATTAGAATTAAAAATTTTTAGTTTAGTATTTCTTTTAATTTCTTTTGACCTCCACAAATTCTGTAGTGCTATGAAAGCCCCTCTTGCCTTTTGTATTCTAATTTTAATATCTCTATCAGTTCCTGCCTCTTTATCTACTTTACTGCCTAAATAGGTGTACGACTCTACGTCTTGGAGTGGGGTGCCATTAAGAGAAACCACATTACTTTTTGCCTGATTTATTCTCATTATCTTTTTCTTTCCTTTATGGATTTTCAGACCAAGCTGCTGCGATCTCGCATCAAGCATATTTAATTTATCTTGCATCTGATTCCGTGAATGGGACAGAAGAGCAATATCATCAGCGAAGTCCAGATCATCGGGCTGTTTTGTAGGGGTCCACTGAATTCCATTCTTGGTGTTAGCATTTACTGTTTTCATAGTCCAGTCTATAGCCAGTAAAAATTAGAGGCGACAAAAGACATCCCTGTCGCACACCTGTTTTTATTTCAAATGCATCTGTTAGCTTTCCCTCATGAAGAACTCGACATTTCATGTCTTTATATGTTGCATTTACTAAGTTGATAATTTTATGTGGGATTCCATAGTGACCCATCAATTTCCAGAGAGATTCCCTATCAGTGCTGTCAAATGCTTTTTCATAGTCTATAAATCCAATGCAAAGTGGTGAGTTCAGTTCAATGCTTTGCTCTATTGTAATACGTAATGTGGCTGTCTGGTCAGTACAGGATCTGTTTGACCGAAAACCTGCCTGCTCATCTCTTAGCATTTTATCAATTGCATCTTTCAATCTTTCCAAAATAATTCTACTTAATATTTTTCCAAGAACTGACAGCAACATAATTCCTCTATAGTTTTCACACTCCTGTAGATCACCTTTTTTTTGGGCAGTTTCACAAGATATCCTCTCCAGTCTGCTGGTATTTCTTCGGTCTCCCAGACTTTACTGAATAATCTATGTGGGATACCATCTGGGCCTGTCGCCTTTCCTTCCTTGAGAAGATTGATAGCTTTTCTAATTTCCTCTTTGGATGGTATCTCACAGTTAATATCCAGTTCCAATTCTAAAGGTTGGGGGAACCTCTGGGCCTGGTCTATTTAGAAGCATTTCAAAATATTCAACCCATCTGTCCATTTGATCTTTAGTATTAGTAAGTACCTTTCCTTGACTATTTTTGAATGAACCAGTTGGCTGACTATATTTACCTACTAATTTTCTTGTGTTACTGTAAAGTTCTCTGAAGTTTCCTTTTGCTGCTGCTGTCTCCGCTTCTTGTGCTAGATAATTTAAAACTAGCACTCAAGGCAGATACCATGCAGCCCCCTTCAATGGTGAAAATGTCCTGAAGCTTGAACTGAATTTACTTAAATCGATAGAATAAACTTATGTAGTCACAGACAATGCATGTTGTGTGACTTTATGAGTCCCAAACATTGCAAATCATGTTCTCTTACTTTTATATTTGGCCATAGTATACTAAAAAATTTGCCTTTATAAAATGTCTCTTTGAAAGTAGTGATCCTGTGATTGTTGATAAAGGTTATTTCCCCTTGGACAGTTCTGAGATTTCATGAGCCAACTGCCACTTTGCTATGTTAGTTAATTCAATCAAGAGTTTACAGTATGTTTACTGTCTGTACTTTTATTGTCTTTTAACAGCCATTTTCCAGATTATGTTCTATTACAGCCTTTTATAAGGCATTTGACAAAGTGGAAGAGGGTTACTTAATTTATTGTGCAATTTTTTTTTTAATTTCATCTTTGGAAAGGAACAATTCGTAGTCCCTCTAATGTTCCATTTGTTTTGAAAGTGTGGACTGTTTTGGTAATTTAGACAGTGAGCAGGGTATGTGGAGGAAATGCAGTATGTTTACGAAAGGGGTTTGGTTTAATTAAAAATGTTAAATGCCGTTTGAATTATTTACTTTACTTAGTTGCTGCTGTTCTTTCCTGGGGTGTAGAGGTTTGCCTGTCTTCTGTATCAGCAGGTTTCTTTTTGGTTTTGTTCCATTCCAGTCCTCTGTCGTATGTTGTCTTCCTAGCGAACCCTCGGTCGTCCTGGTGGTCTGATTCCCTGGTTCTTGGCCCCCCTGTGGTGGCTGATTCTCTCCCATTCTGCATACATGACCAAACCATCGTAACTGTGACTGATCCACTCGAATTTATAAGGCCTGGGTTTCAAGGTCCTGACATATTGTCTGATTGCATATTTGATCTATTTTTGTCACTTTTACTACCTTTCTGAGACCTGAAGCTAGCTTCTGTGAGCCTTGATTCTCACCCATATGTTGGGACTGACACATATGTCTAGCTGGTATAGAGCCATGTTTGTCCCCTTGCTAATTTCTATTTTGCTGAGATAGACCTGGTTTATGACTCCTAGCTGCTGATTTCTGAGCAGTCAGCTGTGACTTGATGCCTCTATTCTGATCTATTACGACTCCAGTGTATTTGAACTGGTTGACCTGCTTCAATGCATCTTGTGCCATGATGATCGGATGTTTCTTCTCCTCTGTTGAGATC